ACTAGATCTAGGTCTTGTCCGGCAGTTTTGTGAATTAGCACACAGTAGAAGTTTGTATTAAAAATAAACACTGTTTGTACAACTAAAAGGAAGGACATTTTCATTATGGAAGTAGAATGTTTAAATACTTTGATCGTTGCAAGCACACTTATGTAATATAACCATACATTCTGATATATATTTCCTAGCGAAAAACCCTTTCAGCAGAAATGAAATGTTTTTAGAGAAACACAGACGAGAGCTGCAGAGGAGGAGGAGAAAATAGGAAAACTTACAAAATTAACATCGTGGCTCAATACAGGTGCAACGACCCACTCATACCATACCTTCAGATATAGCATCTACATCAGCATCCACTCCTGCAATATCAGCCATTATTACTGTTCCTACAGATATAGAATCCGCATCTACATCCATTCCTGCTACCAATCATTCAGTTTCAAGAGACATAGCATCATTACCGGTTGCTGCTGGTAACATTTTACAATAAGAAATACTCAAACCTGGAACAGTAAAGGAGTTTGCAATCCAAGATACAGATCCCGAGCTATGGAATATTAATGATGTTAACACAACAGATAACTGGATTCGTAGTGGGCCCTCATCATGTTAGAATCATGATAACAACGTTTGAAACTCAGAGTGTATAAAACAGCTGGAGTAGAGAATATGAAGGTAATGTATTTATCAATCAATGTGTTCAAACGTGAACTGCGGAATGGTGAGTGTGTAAAACGTGAATGCTACTCAATTCAACATTCCAGGTTCGTTTGTACTGCTTTGTATGTCGTCTATTGTCCAAGAAAGAATCTCGCTTTGCTACATCGAGGTTCAATGACTAGAAGCACAAAAATGTTATTGTAGAACATGAAGATGAAGAATATCGAAAGTGCATGACGTCATATTTGATAAGGTATAAAAGAAACTGAGATTCTTTATTACTTGAACAAAATCACCCAGAGCAGGAATATTGGTATAAAGTGTTGGCGCGTGTTGTTTCTGTAATTCACTTTCTATCTCCCAGAGGTTTGTTATTTCGTGGAAAAAAATAGATTATTGGGTCAACAAAAAAATGGAAACTATTTAGGTATATTAGAGCTGCTGATTGTATTTAACCATTTCTTGGAAGAACATTTCAAAATGTATGGAAATCCTGGCAAAGGGAATCCGTCGTATTTATCCGCAAATATTTGTGCGGAATTTATTGAATTAATGGGACAACATGTTCTTTTTGCTATTCTTGAAGAAGTAAAAGAGTCAAAGTATTATTCAGTAAGTGTAGATTCTACTCCAGACATCTCACACACAGACCAACTGATATTTATTGTCCGATATATTAAAGGATGTGAGCCTGTGGAACGTTTCTTGATATTTATCCACTTCTTTTCTTATGGAGCAAAGTTTCTAATCCAGACTGTTGTGGATTTTCTTAATGAGAACAAAATTCCACTATCAAACTGCAGTGTTCATTCATATGATAATGCCTCAAATATATCTGGACGATATACAGGATTGCTTGCTTGGATTCATCAACTCAATGAATTTGCTATTTATGTTCTCTTTGCTGGACACAACCTGAACTTGGTGGAAATAAAAACAGCAGAGTACTATCTACAGACTGTAAAATTATTTGACTTATTTAATCATCTATATTCATTATTTGTTGGTTCTACTCGTCGCTGAAATGTACTGACATCATCTCCAGGAAAAGGTTTTGTGGTCAAGCGTTTGTCTGACGCGTGATGATCAGCACACATTGATGCTGTTCATACTATGTATGGGGTTTCGGGAAAATAAAATATGTACATAATTCTCTATCAGCTGACAATGAACAGCAAATGAATACATAGCGAGAGGCAGAAGGATTGAATAAAAATGGAAAACCTGGAAACAATTCTCACAATTCTTTGGAATGACATACTATAAAGAATGAACAAAAGAATCAAGGTCCTAGAATCAAAGGATGTGAATATCTTTGTTCCACGAATCTTCAGGAAACTAGAGAGAAAATTTAGTGAATATGAATTCAATGTGTCCAGATATTGATATGATGGGAAAAACTGGAACGAAAACGAAGTGTGCGACAATTGATATGATGGATCAGCAGAAAAGGTACTTATCAGTAAAACCGAAAAGTTCAAGGTGGAAACTTTCCTCCCTATTCTGGACACTCTAATCTTTGAACTGACAAAATGTACAGAGGCTTATTCACAGATTAGAAATTTGTTTTCTTTCTTTAGTGAATTGAAAACCATTGCTTCTGATGCACTAAAGGAAAAGTGTGAACAACTGGCTAATATGTATCAAAAAGACTTGAATTATGATGACCTTTAAAATGAATGTGAGCATCTCAAGCACAACATGGCTCTCGATGAAAAATTTGAAACTCTCCCTCCACTGTACAAAAAATAATTTCGGACAATTTGAAATCAGCATTCAGATTGCACTCAGATTGTTCATGTGCATGATGGTGACCAACTGTATACGATAACGTTCTTTTTCAAGACTGGAACTTATAAAAAAAAAATTCTTCGTAGGAAAATGAGACAGCGGCGTTTGACCTGGTTTTTACTCATGTGCATAGAAAATGACATCCTATTCCCGAGGATCAAGCCAAAAGCAATTATCTGAAATTGAAATGCCGCACATGCTTGTTATAATAAGTTCGTAGTAATTTCATACCGTGCTAATCTGTGTAGCTTACTATTATTGTGTTTTTCAAGCTTTGTGTATTGTTCAAATGTTTATCATGTTGATTAGTTGCTGCTGTACAGCAAGTTTTTAATGTTTTAACACCAGTTTTCTTGAACTGCGAATAAAATAAATATATGTTTAATATTATCGACTATTTACTTTTTATTCCTGTGTGTGAAAGCCGTAGGGGAGCCAGCACATTCGTTTGTCCAGGGGCCCATAATTCTGTTATGGCGGCCCAGCTGAACCTTAACAGTTAGCGATAGACGATGGCAAATTCAAATGCTGATTGAAACTTGGTGACAAAAACGTTTCTCCATGAGACATTATTGTTGCTGTGATTAAATGTATTTTTCTATATTTGAAATGTAGTGTAAACGAAGTAATATTTTTCAAAATTCTGTTAATTCTTAATTAAATTTTACTAATGTAACTCTTACAGATAATGGATTTTTAATAGATTTTTTTTAACGTGTTGTATATTTTCTGTCATCATTTTTCAATTAAAATGGGAGATCAGTGATAAATTGACCGTGAGAATGTTTAAAAATGTCTTACAACCTTATTGAAAGGCGTCAAATTATTTCTTTTTCTCGTTAGCTTTACGTTATTATCGTTCAAGTAAAGTTTTGCTTAAAACGAAATATTTAAATTATTTTAAATGCGTTTTAAAGGTCTTTAGCGCAAATTTTGGCGGTGCTAATTTAACACACGTGTGGATTATTTGAATAAATGAACTATCGTCAACGAATAAAATATAGCTTTTGAAAATTCTGCACAGATGACTATAATATACTTTCGTGCTTAATCAAAAAGAAACAGTTATAGTTGTTTTTTTTTAATAATCGCACCCCAATCAAGGCAATAATACCAACTGGATTAAACGGAGTGAAAGAGAAGCAAAATGTAAAAAACTAAGTGTTGTGGATTCCGGGATGAAATTCGGTTTCCAATGAATGACAAACGCAGGAATGAAATATAACAAATGAATGTATTTACACAATAATACAAATGGTAATACGGTTAGTAAATCCAGAAACGCGGTTAGTAGCAATAATAATAATATATATATATATACACAGTCTGGTAAATTTAGTCTCGAAGTAGGACTTCCTTAGAGTCTACGTGCTTGTAAACTGTGACTTCTACAAGCGGTTACCTCACACTATTACTCTACCTCCAACTCAGTCACAATCACTGTCTCTGACTGACTCTGGGTATTTAACGGCAGCAGTCCAAGTACACACTGGTCGAGTCCACTTGTAGGAAAAAGAGGTGGACCCCATAACACTAAGAATGGGGAGGATTGAGAAAAGGAAAAAACAAAGAACAGGGTAGAAGAAGAGAGAATATGGAGACTGACGTTGCATTTAAATTTTTGAAGATTGTAGTTATCAGGGACGCAAGAAGATAAACTCTACTGAACCGCATATAGATGCTAAATAAAAATCATTCTCCTTAAATAACAAGCAAAACACATTCAAATACAGTTTTAAAAAGATAATTTATTTGTTTTCATATGGTTACATTAAATAGAAAAATAAAAAAGTGAGAATTTAAAATACAAAAAATTTTTCAAAATAAAATATATAGTAAAGATATTTAATAAAAATCATCCTCTTTAAATAACAAACAAAACATGAATGCAGTTTTAAAAAAGGTGTAAAATGTGTAGATGTACTTTTGACATTGAAGAAAAATACATAAAATATAATAAGGAACACAGCTCATTCAGTATTATATAGAATAATTAAGGAGATAAATGAGAAGGAGAATAGGAAATTATAATGTTGATAGGATAAAAAAATAATGTTATTATTTAGTCGATTATTGTTATAGACCGTATAACGGTAAACGGATTGTTCCTGTCTATGCAGATGTCGACATAACTGCTTTCTCTACTGGCAGATGAAAAGAAGATTTCCTCTTTTGTAAACTTATATTTGGCAATATTTTACGTTTGTAGATGTTAGACCAGTGGTTCTCAACCGGGGTCTACATGGACCCTAGGGGTCCATGTAATATTTCCGGGGGTCCACAGGCAAAACTCAATTGTTGTGTTAATTAAAAATAGTAATAATAATTATTATTATAATTATAGTAGAATATTTTATTTGTATTAAATTAGTTTTCATTTAAAAAATAAAGCTTAATCGTATACTATTTCTTTGATAATTAAAACCTTAAAATTTATATTAGTGAAGAATAGAGAATTGTTCTTATGTCCAATAGCTATGAAGGGGTCCACCAAGATAAAAAGAAGGGGAAAGGGGTCCATGGGTAAAAAAAGGTTGAGAACCACTGTGTTAGACAATATTCTTGTGTACACACGTACATCCTGTAGCGACTTCCAATATGACTGGTACATACGCAAAGCGTCCGAATGTTGATATGCGTTTGAGAAAGAACATCGGTGTACGAACAGGTTCACATGCGTGCATCTCGTTAAATTCATTACAGGATTTACAGTTACACACTGCCTCATCACGAACTGATGGGAAGAGAGTCGAGTTAGTTATCCTCTTGTTGGTCCAAGTGCAAGCCGATCTGTTCATTATATTTTCATTTGATATACTCTTGATAGAGAACGAAGTATTTTGAATCAGAAGTACTGTCTCATTTTCTATTAATAGTGGCGTCGATTCTCTGTAGGTGTCACTCAGGTCATCTAGTTCTTTGCCTTTCGTGTGTGGTAGAGCTCCTGACCCGAACAATACCATTACATAGAATAAAGCAGACATTAGAATTGGTACCTGGAAAGAGATGAACACGGGGATATTTTTTAAAAAAATATATACCAATAAAAATGTGTTTTAAAGTGTCGAACATAGATAAATTGTTTCTAGTCGATGATAAAAATTTTTTCAGAATTAATAATTGTTATGGAATCTTACCCATATAAATAATAATGGACTATTCCATACTTAATAAATACTGCGCCTCAGGAGTAGGCAAGGAGTCGATCGTTCAAGTCTTGACCAGCTGATCGGTTGAACTCTCTGCATTCGGGCGGGGAGGAACCTGAAAGAAGCTACGCCGAAGGGTGGATTCTCTTTAGGGGAGGTAGACCGACCCTGAACCCGTTTATACAGGTTCAAAGGGTATATTTTTGGCAAAGCCCACGGGCTCAGGGACCCCACATTAAATTCGGCCTTGTGCCACATGTGACCGCGTGGGACAGTTACTAAATAGCGTCAGCCGTTCAATTCTCGACCGGCTGATCGGTTGAACTCTCTGCCTTCGGGCAGGGAGGAACCCGAAAGAGGCTACGCCGAAGGGCGGATTCTCTTTCGGGGAGATAAACCGACCCTGAACCCGTTTATACGGGTTCAATGGGCATATTTTTGGCCAAGCCCACGGGCTCGGAATGCCCACGTTAAAAAGTCCTTGTGCCACATGACACCCTCGTGGCGGGGGTGACTGAATATCGTTAGTCAGTAGTTCAAGTTGAGTCAGTCAGTCGAGTCAGAGGCAGTCTGAAACAGAGTCGCGTTCAGACAATTACTACAAGACATTGGAATAGTGATACTGGTCGAGACTACATTGTTCTCTCTACTAAACCTGATTGTTCATACTAACACTTCTACCTGTGTTCGAGTTCTTCTTTATTGGTTCTACCTTGGACTATCACCGTGGTACAAGGAACCGGACCATAACAATAATATAATTTATAACTGGTATGTTTATAGGCATATCACGTTGAAACACCGGTTCTTCGTTCACTGAAGTTAAGCAGTACTCAGATGGTGACCACTGGGGAATACCAAGCGCTGTAAGCTACACGATAGGTGTCGGTGATGGATAGAACATCATTACTTATATCAACAGAAGACCTCGATATGTAGAGATACTTCTGGACTGAGAGGTCGAAATACCAACTTGAAGTTGAGTGAGTGGTGTATAACTGGTATATTGATTAAAGTAGAAATATAAACTATGTTTTAAGTTTTCGGGATGAGAAGTTATCATTATTTATATTCGGACCAATGTTCTCATTTTTGTTAAAATTACAACGTTTCGACCGTTGTGCCCTACGGCTTTCTTCAGGCGTCTTTTGAACCGGGTAAGCATCAGCAACTGAACTATTAATTTAATCTACTGGGTTAGATCTTTATCAAACCCATTTTTAACCTTTGATCTTAAAAAAAGTGTTTGTATACAGCAGACAGTTTGCATATTTCAAAACCATTCAGAAATATCTAAATTGTCAGCTGTACACGAAGGCTTTCCAAGATCAATTGTTAAAAATGGTTTTGAAAAAGCCTGGTGGTCTTTGCGAATATCACACCTTGTTCGAACATTGGAAACAGGCGTTACAGAATCGCAATCAAAGCACTATACCAAATATAATAGAATCCCAATAATTTGAGGACTTTCAACAGCAGCAGCAGCAAATAAAATGGATATCACATGTAACTCGAAAAGAAAATAATGAAATAATCAAAATATTGACGTTCCACACTTGAAATAAAAAAAGTTAGGAAGGAAGCCCCGTCAGTACTGGAAAGATCGATAACAGTTACTGGATTTGGGAAACTTATTTTCCTAAAACAATATTTTAAAGGAAAGCTTTTATAAATTTCAACCGATAGCAGCACTGGTTGCTTGGTAAATGAATGCCTAATTTTTCCTTATAATGAAACGGCTAATATTACCATTACCATTTTACTCTTAATGTATTGTATCTCATTTTATTCTGCTCACTCATTGCTTGCCGGGTTTCCATTTAGTCTAAGTTTGACGGATTGAACTAATTATTACTGCAACAAAATTCACAAGCCAACGCTTTACTGCACGAGGAGATTGTCCAATTCAAAACTTTGTGATTTTGTGATAATAACAATAAAGTTGAGAACATTGGTTTTAATATGAATAATGTAATTATGCTTGGAATGTTATTTAAAGAAATTATCTACAAATTTTGGGGAACATTCATATCATGTGTTATTACAAAACTAATCCATACAAACAAATTCACTCGTGTAACGAAAGATCATTAAAAATGTATTATATAAGTTCTTTGGTGTTTATGTCGCCAAAAAAAATGGACGACACTGTTAGTGGGAAAAATGTATAACTAAAAAGTAGAACTAAAAATATGAAAAAAACTAGAAAAGTAAAACAAAACCTGACTACTTACATTCATAGTGTTGAAGTTGGCTATCAAAGAAGGAATAAATTTGTGTACAAGCAAGCGAAAAAAGGCTGTCTTTGCTGTTTGAACAGTTGGATAGGAATGAATTCTGAAGTACCTATCTGTCTATATATACCTATTTGTCTGCGAATGACACATTCCCCAACAGGACAAATAAAATTCCACTTAAATATCTAAGTGGGTTCTACTACATAATTAAACGGATATAAAAATAGATTTAAAAATAATATTTACAAAGTATATAAATTTTTAATAACTTATTCTGGGTTTTTTCTTTCAAGTGTGGATTTTTTGCTTGTTGTCTCAACATCTCAAAAATCGTGATAATAACGTTAACAATATTATGTTTTTTCTAGTTAAATTATTTTAAACAAGAGCAGTAATCGCCTTTTTTTGCATGTAAAGACGTCATGCCATGATTCAAATGCATTAGTGGAATAATCTTTATATTCCCATTTGTATCCAGGATGTGTAAAGGCAGCAGAGATGGAACAATTCTGAACAGATTAATTTCACACAGTTCTTAGTTTAGGGAGTTTTGTCCGTATCGAGTGAAGATAAGTAAATACCGACAAAGTTAGCAACTAGACTCGAATATGGAATCAAGTCTCCCTAGTTTCTCTTCTGTTACTAACGATCACCCAATACAAGCCCCGAGAGTTACTCAAGGTAGAGATTTACTGTTAAAATGGGTATGATGAACCAGTGTGAAAGCAAGAGAAAGTTTTAGGAATTGAATACCACGAATATAAGGAAGATATAAAGCGATTGAAACTTTACTTAAAGAAGTTAAGTTTGTAATGTTCAGGGAAGAGCCCACTCATGAGAGCATTTCTCAAAGTAGCAGTTCTTAGGAAAAAGCTGAGTAGATCTTATATTTTGGAATATAGAGGAAATGAAGGCAATTCAAATCCATGGTATGTCCTAATTGTAAAGGCTTGACTTGGTGGAACTGAAGAATGGAGCTTATCTGAACATTTCCCACAAGATCTCGTTAACGTCTGAATTCCATCAAGGCTAAAAAGGTGAAGATTAAGTGACTACAGTAATATTCCATATTTACTCTGATCTGACTCTTGTAAAGATAAAGCATAGCAGAAGGAGTCAGATATTTCCTAGAGCGATAGAATGAGCCTAACATTTTTCAACATCTTTATCAATGGATCACACATAAGAGTTTCCCTTCAGTTATAGAGTGCACATGAAACACAATAAAAACATGAAACCCAATAGAAACATGAAACCCAATAGACGTTCAAAGCATGGGGCCTCATTGTTAGAACAACTGTTCATTATGAATGGCGTAAATTACAAATCAGTTTTTCCCTATTGAGCTGAGCTATAAAAACTAGATCAGAGGAAGTCCGCAAGTCCCCAATCATCTCGATCTATCGATCTATCTATCTGGTGAGCCTAAATTTCGCAAAAATTTAAATAACATCGACATCTCATTTTAAAAGATATATTTACAAAAATTACACAAAAATATCTTAAAATACTAAAGAGTAAATTTATTCAAAAGAATCGCAATTGGCTTTAACCACAGCCTCCAGACAACTTTAAAATCTTCTGCAACGCTTCTGGGCTGTCTCCTTGTTTGAGTTGGTGAATACTGCCATGATCCTTGTCTTCAGTTCATATATATCATATAAACACAATATATATTGTGTTTATTGTACTCTGAAGATTAAGGTTGTGGTGTCTATATATGTTTCGATATGTATATATATATATATATATATATATATATATATATATTTATATATATGTGAGTGTGTGTAGGTTTCTATCAGACTCGATGAATTAATTATATATATATATATATATATATATATATGTGTGTGTGTGTGTGTGTTTATGTACATATATTTGTATGTTTATGAATAAAAATGACAATAGGAAAACAAGTAATTGCTGACGCGTTTCGTCCTATGTGGGCTTTATCAAAGCAAAATACGAAATGAATTTAATTGAACAAGGTAACTAATAAAAACAAAACTCTACTGGTTAAATCGGAGAATTTTTCATATTTGTATGTATATGTATGTATGTATCTATATATATATATATATATATATATATATATATATATATATGTGTGTGTTGTTATTGTTTTTTATGTGTGTGTTTATATGTATGTGTATATGTATGAGTACATGTATATGTGTTTATGTATATATATGTATGTATGTATATGGTTATGTGTATATGTGGGTTTACCTATAAATATGTATATGGAGGTGTATATATGGGTGTGTATATATGTATATGCATATATGTATATGTATATATGCCTGTTGTGGAATGTGCTCCTGTGTGTCGGTTTGTTTGTAATATTGTATTTACATATTGGATTATAGCTGGAATTAAGACATATGCGAAATTATTCTGTTCGTGAATATTGTTACGAACCTGTAGCATGTAGATGAACCACGAGTTTAAAAAAGAAGAAGGAAAACGTGGGATCTTCTCTCGGTCTTCACTCAGGAATGGAAGCGACAAAAGGGAGTTAGCGAAGAACAGACGCAAGACGATGGATTTTAAAATAAAACATTTATTTATAAATACAGAGACGGGTAAAACAGAAAAATAAAATTCGTTTAACAAAGGGGAAATATATCAAGAAAGAACAGAAGGGAAAGGCGAATACATTCATATATAAAAAGATCAAGTCAAGAAATCAACTTGTCTTGATGGGTCAGTCGAGTTGTAACTTGATAGATTAGTATATAACTATATAATTCGATGAGCTGTAGACGGTTATGGATCTGTATGTTCTTTATTTATTTATTGTATATATAAGACATTTTTATGTTTAAAATTCTTTTTATAGATACAAGTATTTAAGTAAATGCTCGGTTTATAATAAACAGTATTAAATAACATTTACCGGCCTGAATGTCCGAGAAATTTTCATAGAAAATATTCGTCCTTTGACAGGATTCGAACCTGCATCCTATACGGAACCGTCATTTACGCTGACTCGGCCACAAAGGAGCGTTCGGTAGGCAAGGTCGAATTTACTGCTTATAAACTTCAATCTTCCATGAATCTTGTACATTCATGACTGCTCATGTCGTATCAAATGTAAACAAATGACGTCATACATTAAGAAATGGACAAAGTCCAAAAATTTATTAAAGACATTTTTATGTTTAACATTCTTTTTATAGATACAAGTATTTAAGTAAATGTTCTGTTTATAATAAACAGTATTAAATAACATTTATCGGCCTGAATGAAAAGGACGAATATTTTATTTGAAAATTCTCGGACAATTGTCGGACTTCGTCCATTTCTTAATATATGAATATGTGTAGATATACAGATACACATGTATATTGCTCATACTTTGTATTGATGTTAAACATGTGCATTATGTATTTATTATTTGTTTGCGCTTTTAGAAATCTGTTATTTACACTATGATGCTCATTAATGCAATGTATATATTAAGAATAGAGAGCAGTTAATTAGGTACCTTCATGAGATCCCTAAAAAAGAGCAGGGCATGTTGAAAAAGACGCTGAACTTGGCGAAAACATAAGTTTATCGTCTAAATGTTTATATTATTATTAAGAGTAAAGATCAAAGCATTTTGGGGTTATTTTTTTTACATTTTTTAATCGTTCCTAGAACGTCCGAATTTTTTTGTTAAAATTTTTTTTTTTGAGTCAGCAAAATTGACAGATAAACAATCATATCAACCATTTTTTCCATTTTATATAAAAAAAATGAAAATCTCAGTTTCAAATTCTTTTAAAAATCAATTATAATTTTTTCAAAACTTATTTTAAGAAAGTTAGAAATTATAATGTTTATTTGAAATATTTTGAAACAAGCATTACTTAGTTTTTACGCCAAAAAGAATTAGTTTAAAAATAAAACAAAGCAAGTCATAACATTTTCCGTTACTTGACAGGTGATGAGTCATGATTTCATCACGTATTGACAGATTACATGAGTAAAAGTTATCATACAGGAGGACAGAAGTGATATAATTATTTAGATTTAAGTGAATAAATTATTTACCTCGTTATTTTTAAGGAAAACTTTCAACGCTCTAAATTTTTTTTGTACTTAGTATTCACCTTTACGTTTACGATGCTTTATGGAAAATATATTATAAAAAATCAAAATAAGACTGTTGAGATTGAGATTAAATTTCATAAGAAAGGTATCTAATTAATTTATAGATACCTTTCTTATGAAATTTTATCAGAAGTGTACATAAAATACTATAATTTTATGTACATTTATAACATTTTACTGTGTTATTTGTATTTCCATTCATTTTATTATTAATTTTGAAATTTCATTTATGGAAAAATGTCATAACTGAGATTAATATAAAAATAAGATCATATAAACTTCATAAGATGATGCTAATACTAGTATGTATCCTTCTCAGTTGAAATTAAAAAATCAAATTAACTTCTCTACACGTTTTTCGTAAAAATAAAGGCCATAATAGCGGAGAACAATACTTAACTCAAATAACGCGACTTAATTGTATTCTTGCTGGTTTTCCGTACTTTATAATTACAGCCGTATTATGAACACAAAATTACATTTCTTAATTACTGCGGGTCTTCTGATTGGTCGAAATGATACAATTTACAAAGCGGTAAAAAAATCTGTCATAAGAACATTTACGAAACTGAATCCGGTTTTCAATTAATTTTATAATATTTTAACAAATTAAATGTAAAAATCTAAAATAATTAAAGAAATAGCAAATAATTGTATTAAAAATTAATTTTTCATCGAAAAAGTTTTCGCTTTCAGAAAATATTTTCCATATTTATAAAAACAACTAAAAGCAAATAAAAGCATTTGAAATTAAATATCTTTGTTTTATTGAGTTTTGTATGTTACAATTCAGAGCTGATTTTCAGGTAGGCGGGTTCCAATTAAAAAAATGATTTGATTTCCTCAAAGCCTTGTGCTTTTAACTGATATAATCACTAAACTGAACAATACTGAATTTC